CTTCTTATTTTCGAACCTGAAATCCATTAGGGTTCAAGACTGATAACAGTCCTGAACTTCTACTATAATCACCAAAATCCAAGAAGAATACCTTAGGGAGAAGTCAGATAATCACTGGAAACCACTAAAACTTAAACAAATGACTGCCAAAAAAGGAAACTGTAAGTAGCAGCCTCCCAAGGGAGAGAATCAAAACCCCTTCAAATCTTCACCAAAGCAAGAGAGATTTGTACAGGAGATCAGATCTGGGCAACACCAGATCTGAAGTTTGGCCTTGATCTCTCTTGCTGATTGTGCAACTCTGTCTGAACCACAGGTAGGGTTGATCAAAACAGCCCTACACACTTCCACTGATTGAAGAGTGCAGTAGATCTCAGTAGAGGGATGAGATTACTGCCAACAAAGAGTAACAAAGAAGCAAGAAGATGATGAAAGAGCAACCTGCTCTGATACCATGTCAGAGCCAGTCAAAGAGAAAAAGAAAACAAGAGAGTCACACGAATTGGTGGGTGTGTTCTATGTCTGACACGCTCAGAAAGAATTATACTTATATTAATATGTGGATGGACAGTTCTGTCCTTACAAGAATAGATAAGTACAGCAGTGTACAAAGAAGTATACAAAAGAGCCAAATAAGGGTAAAATTACAATATTATCCCTCATCCTCTCTACACTAGTAAGGTTGGAATAGATAGCCCCTAGCATCATCTTGGACCTGCTACATCATGGAGATATATTGGTTAGGGCCAAGCAAGGCAGTATTGGAAGGCAATGAGCCAATGACACATGGCATCATATAGGAAGTTTGGGAAGAGATTAACAACGAAGTATTTGAAAGAAAAGGTGACTCTCCTTCAAAGCAATTAGGAGCTAGATTCTCTTCTTTGTTAACTTGCTAGTTTTGGAGACCCAGGGATTCAAAGGTATCTCTCTCATTACTCTTCAAAGGAATTTAGTGGAAATCCTTAACCTTACCTGCTCAAGTACTTCATCAAAGGACATATTTTCCTCCAATTAGTTGCAGCCCAGATCAAACTACATTTTAACAGTAGTTATTTTGGAAATCCTGGCTCATCCAGGATTAGAAGAGTCTGAACTGAGTGAATGGGTTTCCCTTATGGTACTTAAGTGGTTCCATTGGAGATGCCAATGCAGTCAAATCCTAGATGGTTACATTATTAACTAGATGAAGGGTTGCTAAAAGATTTCACTTTTCTCGGTCCCATGCATTAATGGTGATTGCTGGTTAGATTAATGCTATAAGATCGACCAACAAGGTTGGGTCTAGACCATGGAACTTGGCACACAACCTTAATGAAACCAGAGACATTCTAAATTCTTTCCCTATATTTATGCTGGCTTTGCACCTAATTTACCTGTCTTGTAAGAGATCCAAGATGCATTTCCTTTGAGAAACAAAGATACCCTTTTGTGAGCAAGCAACTTCAATTCCAAGGAAATACCATAAGGTTCCTAGATCTTTTATTTCAAATTGGGTGGCCAAAATTTCCTTTAATTTCTATATCAAAATCCTAGTTATCTGCAATGATAATGTCATCTAATCAGCATTGCAACCTATCGTTGATACCTCTTGACAAAGAGAGTGTGATTACATTGGCACTGTTTGAACTCTACCTACTGAACTACTAAACCAAGCCCTAGGAGACTGTTTCAATTCATATAGGGACTTCTTCATCCTACACACCTTGTCTTCACTAACTTTAGCACAGAAACCTGGGGTTGGCTGGCATAGTATCTATAAATTCCACATCTTTAGAACATTGTTGATATCAACAAAGTTTACACAAGAAGACAAAAAAGGAACAGGATCCAGGATGGAAGGTGGACCTGCCGGACTTGCTTCTCCTCTACACAACTCTTCCCCTAATGAGAAGTAGGATAAAAGGACTCATATTCAAAAAAATGATACATCCATAGAAACAAAATACCTATGAGTAACTAGATCAAAGCAACGTAACCCTTTTGAGAGGAAGGGTACCCGAGGAAAATACACAATAGAATGGCGATCCAGTTTTGAGGAGGACAAATCATGAACAAAAACCTAACAACCGAAGACTCGCATAGGAATGGAGAACAAGGGGCCCGTCGAAACAAGAATTGGTGGGGGCCTCATAATTCAACACTCTAGAGGGCATAAGATTGACCACATAGGCAGCAACAAGCACAACATCCATCCAAAATCGCTTAGGTACATTCATGCGTAAAATCAGGCCACAAGCCACTTCAAGGAGGTGTCTATTCTTCCTTTCGACAACACCGTTCTATTGTGATGTTTTAGCACACGAACTACAATGAAGAGATCCATGGGTGGCAAAGAATTCATTGAGGTCACCATGGAAATATTCTTTCATGTTGTCTGACTGGAATATCTAAAGTTCAACATGGAACTAAGTGAACATCATCAGCTGAAAATCCTTTACAATTTTTGGAACCTCATCTCTAAAGTGCATAGGAAATATCCAAGTATAGTGAGAGTATTCATCAATCAAACTAATAAAGCTTCTATAGCCACCCTCAGATAGTATAGTAGTAGGCCCCCAAACATCGGAATGCACAAATGAAAAGGAAAATGTAATATTTTATTACTTGAAGAAAAAGATATTTTATATTGCTTGCTTAACTAACAAGTTTGACATTGAAAGTTAGACATTGTACACAATTTAAATAAAAGAGGAAACAAAAACTTCAGTAACTCAAAGGACAATGACCCAGATGGTTGTGCCTAAAAAGCACCTAACTCTTATTGGGTTGACTCAACTAACTACATGACCTTGATGTCGATGCCGAGAAACCAGCCTTATTCTCAAGAATGTAGAGACCATCCAACATGCTTCCTCTACCAATTGTCCTCTCAGAGGTTAAATCCTAAAAAACACAAGAACTAGAAAAGATTCAAGTACTTAGTGATACTACTAATAGAAATCAAATTAAGAGGAAGTTTCAAAACATGCAGCACATTAATAAGAGCAATGCCATGGAGAAGAGATATTGATCTCTGACCTATGATGGAAGAAAATAACACAACAAATCTCACTTTATCCCTTCCAAACAAAAGGTTATAGGACTAGAAAAAATTGGACTTATCGGTCATGTGGTTAGAGGTCACAGAGTCAATAATCTAGGGTGAATCAAGAGCAAGAGTGGATACATGGAAAGCTGCGGCAACATTACCTAATGTAGACACAAAAGAAGTAGAGGGAGTACTACAGCTGCACGGTCCATCTGGCGTAAGGCCCTACCACATGATTCCAGGTGGTTATGGAAGGAATTAATAATATCCTACTTAGGGTCAGAACTAGCATGATGCTCTTAAGTGGTACCGGTAGGCACACTATTAGTTTGAGAATCCAGGGTTGCCACATTAGTTGCATTGTATTTCTTTTGTCCCTGCATCTTGTTCTAATCTTGGGGTTTTTGTGCCCACAATTTATCCTTATCATCATACTTCCTATTATCACCCTTCTTCATAGTATTGTCACCCATCAATTGTAATCATCACACTTTGCCTACTTTCCTCTGATTGAACCAAGGCATACACTTCTTAAACTGAAGGTGGCTACCACTCCCCAGAATCTGAACTCTAAGGGATTCATACATAGGGTTTAGCCCCAACAAGAAGGAAAAAACCTGTTGTTGAGAGAACAATTTCTTATATGCCTTAGCATCATCATCATGCTTCCAATCAATGGCTTGATAATGGTCTAATTCCTCCCACACCAATGTAAGGGATGAATAATAGGTTGACAAGCTACAATCCCCTTGCTTACAGGTCAAGGACTCTACCTGTAATTGATAAATCTTGGCAATAGTGCTTCTACTTACAGTAAGTGGATTTTGCCTGTTCCCATATCTCACTAACAGTGTTGGCCCACATAATTTTTTTCCTCGCTTCAAGTTCCATAGCTACAAGGAGCCAGGACATCACCATACTATTCTCCTGGTCCCACCAATCATGTTCAGCAATTCCACTTTTGGGTTCTTTCAGCTTCCCAATAGTATATTCAATCTCTTCCCCTTGTTGTAACACTGATTTTTATGCCCTTCGACCACTCCAAATAGTTCAGCCCATTCAAGGAGATGATTGGCATATGAAAGATCATACTATCAGCCCCTACACCAGCTGTCCCTTGGGATGATTTAACCTCAAAAGTGGCAGAATTGTCAGGCGCCATCAAGACATGTTCTACAAACACCATGTAAAGGAGTTGCCACACCAAAAACACACTTCACCCCCTACTTCCAACACTTCTGGTCAAGGTAGGAGTGTAAAACTATCAAGCACACTAATGGAACACCAAGGAATCTATTGGAACACCACCAGAACTGCACATCCCAAAAACTTAAACTCTAACCACTAGCAGCCCACACACCATATTCAGCAATAGAAGGCTGCACATACCAACTAGGAAGGAGTCACACACCCCTTTACAGCACCTGTATGAGGCACACACCTCCAAAAAAATGGCTTTTCACAGCATCTAACTGTCACAAAACTAGTCTCCTTGGTACTATGACCAAGAAAGGAAACAAAATAGAGGAAACCCGTCGGTCAGACCAGGCCAATTAGGTGTACTCTTCTTCACAGTCCAAAAATAGGAAACTCTAAGTTATATAGACAGATCTGGAAGCTGCTATCGCCCAGAACCTGGCTCTGATACCACGTTTTTGCTAAGAAATACCAACAGAAAACAAAGGGAGGAGGAGAAGAGAGGAAGAAGAGGAGAGAATGATTGGAAAGAAAAAAGTTGGGCTGGTGACACCCCTTCTGTTATTTATACTAAATAGATCAAAATAAAAGAGGTAAATTACAAGAGTGCCCTGGCTGCCCAAACTAAAAATAAACAATATGAAAAGAACAAGCTGACAGTATAGTAACAACACAACCAATAAGCAAAAAGTAAACAAACAAAATCCACTTTGTGCAAAAATATAAACCAAACATATAATAATGTCATCCAAAATGCTTAATATCGACTTACAAGGGGTGGGGTTCCTTGAGCAACACGCTGGACAGCTGAAGACCATAGACTATTCCACATGTATGGTCCAGACACAGCTTGAAGAGCCATGGCACTCATGCTTCCCACACCATTCAACGAAGTGGTATTTGATTTTGTTGGAAGTGGGTTTTTCTGAATAGGAGGGGCCAAGCCAAAAAGAGCAACATAGAACCACAAGTTACGAAATAACTTCAAAAGAGAAGGTTCTATATCTATGGTAGGATCAAAGTCAGAACAAATTTCAGCAACAGCAGGAAGTAGAGGCCCCAAAAAGTCTGCTCCACTCCTGCAAAGATTAAAGTATAAGGTATGCGAGCTTTGGATAGAATATATATAAAATCAAGAAAAAATACCAACTAGAAATAGCATTACAACCACAAAAAGGCTCCTAAGTGATGCATGACCCCAAAAAGATAAATTCCATGTGAAGTATTAACAATCTCAGCTCCTATCTTTCATTTATTTCTTTGTTTATTAAATAGAATTTTACCTTCCACTTTGTGATTCTGCAGCTAGCCCTACATCTGAACACAAAGACAGCAATCGGTGACGATAGTCTGACCGCAATTTAGGACTAGTAAGACCACTAGCAATCAGAAGGAATCCTGCAGGAAGAGTCTAGAACATGATTGAACCAGTGAGAATCCATTTTAAATTGAGACTCAATACTAGCAAGTCAATAGTGATATCCAAGTTTGCTCTTTAGACCTAGAATATCCAGATTAGGTACAAACCTCTACACGCTCTGTGGTGGCCTCAGGAGCCAACGTTTTGCTTTCTTCAGATCCTATATTTGAAATTTTATTCAGATAGCTTCTTGTCATCAGAACTACTGTCTCGCGATAGGATTTCTCAAAACCCAAACTTGCCATGTGAGATACAGCATCAAGAAGCTGCAATTATTCAACAAGAACAGGTTGAAAACCCACATATATCACAAGTGACCAAAGCACCAGATGCCTGATGATGTCAAAAAAAAAGGCAAAAAATGAAATGGGTGGAAGAACACAATAAATATGATCAAAAAACAGAATCTCATACTCGAATACGCAATAAACCAGGAGTTGAAGCATCGCCCTCTTCTAAGCTTTCAATAAATAGAGGCAATATCATGTCTACCATTTCAGCCTTATTAACAGAAACATTAAGATCTGCTAGCAAGCGTATAACATTAAGCTGCACAACAGGAATTGTTTGTTTCTCCTTTCCATCCTGAGATTGATAAAAGAATAAATAAGCATATAACAATAGAAACCACTAAAATAAGAAATAAACACAAGGCATGAATATCTTATAAGTTTAAATCAAAGCACTTAAGGCACAAAATAACATTAACACAAAGATCAAGATTACAAGAAAAAATATATAAAACCATTCAGTAACATGAATTGAAGCAAAAGCAAATATATTAAATACTCATTTGCAGGCAAAAACATAGAAGGTGGCACAGTTCTCTGCACAGGATGGAAAAGTACCATTTAGGTCTTGATAGAAGAAGATGATAAAAGACACTTTAGGAGAAAAGCAAATCAGTCACTCCTTTCAAAGATCTAAAAAAAGGAAGAAATAAGCAACTTAGGCTTGATATTTTTTCTTTTTCTATTATCACCAGAAACATTAAATTTTATTGATCAAAACGAAAGTATAAAACAGTACATATACTGACATAACCTGCCTCTAAATCTTTAAGATGGGATAAGAGTGCACCAACAGATTTTACCAACAAATTATCCATCCATTTGAAAAATTGCATTGCATTCATCCCCACCACAACTACAATAGAAGTCTTTCCTGGTCCCTCCTTGACAAATTAGACAATTTAGATGAGTTATTCAGATTAGTGCCAAAGATCTAGCTCTCTATAGTGTCTGTTTCAACTGCCAAGGTCCTGCTTCAAAATCCATCCAGCTCACCTATGTAAATCCCTTTCAACTAAAATTCTCTCCCATGCCTACTCCATCCCATGGACAAAAGCAAGAATCTATGCCCTAAGAAAGTGCTAGCAGGGTCCAAACATTCCACGGTTTCCACCTAGGATGCCTGATTCCTTCTACAGGCTTGATTTGCCACTTGCCATGAAGGGAAACAAGTTACTGGTACCACCTCGGGTTCAACCATTCTGTTGGGAGACTTTTCATTTAAAAAAAAAACACGTAAGACCTTACAACAGAAAGACCTTTGGTGCATATCACCTCATGTGTGCTTCTTGTACAAAGCCAATTGTGAAAATTCTTTCCATCTGCTAATCTCCTGCAACTATTTGTCTGCTATTTGGGAGTATTTTTTCTTGTTGTTTGGGTGCAGGAGGTCTCCTCCTAGTGACCTAAAAAAATTGTTTGAAGATTTGATCACTCATCCAAGAAAGAGGGGTAGGGTTATATGGAGATGTGTAAGAGTGGCTATATTATGGGGTGTGTGTGTGTGTGAAAAGAGAGTAATGCCCAGTTATTCAATGATAATGAAAAAATAAGTAAAATTATTGATAGTATCTCTTTTCAAAACCGTGGAGCTCTTTGAACTATATATGACAGAAGACATCATTAAAAATTGGAAAAGTGGCTAGTTCTGCACCGACAAGGCCAAGAATACATGCTGTATGGTGCCCCCACATTTCCCTTTCTTAAAGCTGAATTTTGATGATTGCAGCCTAGGCAACCTTAGAAATCAGTTATAGGAGTGCTTAGAAATCACTTGGGAGACATTCTGGTTATCTACTTGGACCTATTGGTGTGGGTGATTTGATGAGGGAAGAACTTATGGTTATTGTAACGGTATTGGAAAAGGATAAGCTTATAGGCTACATAATCTGATCATTGAAGGAGACTAAGGTAATAACAAGTTGGCTGTGAAGTAATGAAGAGGATCCATGGTGGCACAGATATCAAATTAGAGAAGCTAAAAAATTAGTGAAGGACCTGGGACCAGTCAAAAGATGGATACCTAGATCTGCTAAGAATCTAGCAAATGGTCTGGCTAAACAGAGTCCGGAAGATGGATATGCCCCATCCGGCGTATCGGCCTATATTGATATTTAGAACCATGCCTATTGCTAGTTGGCCATTGAAATATCTAGGTATGCCCATAGGAGCTAACCCACAGGAAGGAAGCTTTTGGAATCCAATTGTCAAAAATTGTACTAAGAAACTGTCAGCTTAGAAGAGGAATTATTTGTCTCTCGGGGGTTGAATTACTTTGATAAAGTCTACCTTAGCTAACCTTCTAGTGTACTTCCTCTCAGTCTTTAAGTTGACACAAAGGGAGGTGTCAAAATTAGAGAAGATTATGAGGGATTTCTTATGACTTATCAAAAAAAAATGAGGGATTTCTTATGAGAGCCTGGTGAAGAAAGAAAGGATCTCTTGGTGAGATAAGAGTTAGTGTGCAGAAGTAAGGAGCAAGGGGGCTTGGGATGAGGCAATTTAGAAAAGAAGAATGTAACTTTGTTGCATAAATGACTATGGAGATGGCCTTTAGAGAGGGAGAGACTCTGGCTTAAGGTAATAGGTAGTATTCATGGGCATGCAGGTAACGGTTGGGATGTCAGTGTTTCTCGGCAGGGCACTTTGAACTCTCCGTGGAAGGCTATTCATGGAATTCTTCCCCATTTCCTAAGCCTTATCAAGTATGATGTGTGTACAGGAGATAGAGTTCTTTTCTGGGAGGATGACTAGCTTGGTAATTCAACTCTCAAGGACCTTTTCCCTCCCTGTATTTCTATATCCCTTTTTAGAAATAAACCCATTCAGAGGTTTGTCTCCTCTCAGCCAAGATTCAAAGTATCGATACAATATGCCCTGTATCGAGCATATCGTATTTTTTGGTCCCTGGTACACCTGTTTACAGGTGTTTTCAGGAGTATAAAGATATATTTGAGAGATTCAGAGCTTGACCAGGTTGCTTTACTTCTCAAAACTCTTGACTCTCTTTCTTTGGATCATTCTAAACCTGATTCTCATATCTGGACTCCTAACCCGTTGGGCCTGTTTTCTTGTGCTTCTTTTTTTTCTCTTAGTTGTGCCCTATTCCTAACCCTTGGCCTTTCTTTTGCAAGGAATTTGGTCCAAACCCATATCCCCGCTAAACTGGGAGCGCTTTGCTGGGAAGTCTCTCTTAGGAATTAAACACTACAGATAACCTACAAAAGAGAAGACCTAACATTAGTATCTCACCAAACTGATGTTTCCTTTTCAAAGATAATGGAGAAATCTGTTACCATCTACTAGTGTCCTACCCTTTTGTTGTACGACTCTGGGAAAAGATTTTGGTCTCTTTGGATGCAGGTGGACAATACCACTGCAGATTGGTGGACTCTTCGACCCAACTATTTTCAGGTGGCCTAAGAGAAAAGGGAGAATGTTGTGGAGATGTGAAAGGGCTGTGATGGTATGGACAGTTTGGAAAGAAAGAAATGCTAGGATTTTTAACGAGAAAGAAAGGGATGAGGCTACTGTTTGGGAGTGAATTTTGAACAAGGCTATATTTTGGGCTAAAGCTTTTGATCCCTTCTCACAATTCTCCTTTGATGACCTTTGGAGAAACTAGGAATTGGTTGCAGAATCTTACTTGGTCAAGAACAAGCCTATAAAATTGGAAACCCCTTGAAGAAGACTTTATCAAGCTAAACTTTGATGGTAGCAGCCTAGGTAATCTTAGGCCTTCTGGTATTGGAGGAATCTTTAGAAATGTAGAGGGTCAGATTGTCGCCTTGTTTTCTGCTCCAATTGGAGTGGGAGATGTACTTAGACTGTTAGAGCAGAGGTTCAAGCAGTTCTACAGGGAGCACAGATTGCTAGAGAGCTGAACTTTGGGAGGTTGCTAATCAATTTAGAGGAGTTTCCATTACCATAAATGAGTTTTATGGATTTGAGATCAAGGATAATTCTACTTGTGCTGATATTGGGGTCACTGGGGTTAAGAAAGTGCTGTATGAAGATAAGACAATGTGGCCTTTAATAAGGCTAAGGAACAGATTATCTTTAAGAAGAAAGAAAGGGTGAGCCAAGGATTTTACATGTAGGACTAATAGTCCTCTCATTGTCAAGGTCATATACATGTTTTGTTTTTCCACTTCTATTTTGGGTCCCATACACTTGAACCATTTCTGTGGAGGAATTCATTTATTATGATAAGTTGTTATGTATTTCAAAAAGTAGACATTCTCTACGAATTCCATTTTTTCACATTTTTCCATGCTTAGATCCATGTTTGAAGTCAGATAGGATTGCAGTGTAATGGAGGCTTGATGAGATGAAACTTATATGCTTTCCTGTACATTGGTAAAGTGCCTTCTACATTTTTTTTATCTTCTTTTCAGGTTCTGATTTTATTTTTCAGCACCAATTTGTATTTTGTGACAGAGAAACTGATGCATTTTTAAAAAGCTAGACAGGCTAGCCCCTACCAAATACGATGCATTTTTAATACCAGTCCATGCATCACAAAAGTCCCTTTCTAGCTTTATATGATTTTGATGTTTGGATCTAGTGTATGAAGGTGAAGTATCAAGGAGGGGGGAGGTTTAGAGTGGGTTGGCTGCTGATGTAAACATTTTGTTCCACTAGGTTCACAGATCAACCAACATTAGCTGCCAATTTGGCTAGGGGAGGCATGGATAGGATTGAGTTATATGTTGGAGGTCCTTTTCCCAGGACATTTTTTTGACTTACTTGTTTTTTGGGTGTACCACTTTTTGATTGTGTGTGCTGTTTTTGGGTCCTGTATAGTCATATTTGTGGGTCCAGCTCTTTTGGACAAGGAGATCCAGTTGCATTCTTGTCTCTCTTCTTCCTTCTTTTTGCCATTCTTTGTGGGAGGGATATAACTGTTAAGGATACCAACCTGCTATACTAAAAAATGAAAAAAATATATATATTTACAGCTAGAAACAGGGCATGATGATACACATTACACACTATCTCCCTCAACATATCAGGGACATATCTCAAAATAGTAACCAAAGGGGGATTTAGTAAGAAGCTAAAAGTTCACAGCCCCATTGATCTCCTTCAAAACATGTATAACAGAAAATAATGAAAAATAGATCCCCTGTCATCAATATTTCAGAGGATAGCTCAAAGCTCCCATGTTCTTACCTCCAAATGTTGGAAATATTGCACTTCCAGTTCAATTTTCCATTATACATCAAACTATGGAAAAAAAAAAAATTGATTAAGAATATGAAGTACCATACTCAACTAAGTCTTAATCCCAACTATATGGGATCAGCTACACAAATATTGTCCTGCCGTTGTGCTCTATCGAGAGCAATTTATGCCCTAGCATTGTACAAAATATTTCAGGATTCATATTCATATTGGCTTGGAAAATGGTTTTTATAATGGCTGCAAGCCTGACACAACCCTCTTTTTCCGAGGCTTGGGACCAGCACTGTAAGTCAAGCTAATACTTACTAAATCCTAAATGGAAGGCATCTTGAGATTTTAGGATTGAAGGACCTGAAATAATGGTCCACTGGTACACAGGTAAAATAAGGTTCTTAATCTCAAAAACATAGCATAGTCGAATTGAAAATTTTAGCCCCGTTCTGTTTAACTGTTGGTACCTACACTTGAATACTGAAAATATAATAGTAGCCATGATAGCAATAACTGGAAAACTCAAATTCTATGATGCTTGAAGTTGATACAAGTTAATAAGGTATAACTCCAAGATTAATTGAAAAGGCATAGAAATGGATACAGCTATATAGCCAACATTAAGCAATAGACAACGGAAGTAACGCAAAACTATCCATGCACTTTATCCAGAAAATGAAGACTAGATACCATCATACCAACCTGCTCCTCATAATCATTTCGCTCACGAATACTTGCAGCCAATCCCATTATGAAAGTGTCTACAGGAGCGCGGTCCTTGCTCCAACCAAATTCAATAATCTCGCAACTTGTCTTTGTGACACTTTCAAACATGGCTCCCTGACTGTTTCCCCACGTATCAGCCTGTTTCAGCCAGCACGGTACAACAAATAAAATGTCCAGTACTGCTGCTACTGCAGGGCCTTGCATTCTGGGCTAAGGAGCTAAGGCTCGGATCATAAAAAGAGGCGTACCTGTGCACATGTAGTCAGAACAAGTGGTTTCAGGCGAATAAGTAGAACTCGTAACAGTTGACCTCCACGCGTAACAGCTACATGTGAGATTCCCGAAAGCAAACAAGTGAAGAGATCTTCGCAAATTCTGAGCTTCCGCCAGATAGAAAGTAAGCAAGCTTCTGCAGCATCAATGAGCAATGCAAGTGTCTCAAGCAATAATCTCTTTGATGATTTCCCATCGGAATCCATGGATGCAAGACTTTTAATTTGCAACTGTGCCGCAGCTCGGAAGACAGATAATTTTGTATTAATTCTGGCTTTCAACGAGGCCCCCTGTTCTGACCAGTCACGCTTCCTTATCTGCAAGAAAATCAACAGTTCAATTGGTAAGAGACAGGAGATAATGTTTTCTTAAAAAAGACGACGATCAGGCTCAAACAATTTTATTTTACCTTTAGAAAAGCTGTTAAAGATTGGAGCTGCCTCTTCGAAACCATCCTCACCAGCTCCAAAAGCCCGGCTTTTATGGGGACTTTATCCACAATATGCCCAAGTAATCTTAAGGCAATCTCTTGCTTTTCCAGGCTCTCGACAGTTTCCTCTTCAAAAGCGGCAATTTGTTGGTTCACCAGGGCAGTGCCTCCTACCCCATCATTGAACCCGAAATTTATCCCCATTTGGTCTATACTGCTCTTCCAGCCAATGCTGCTACCATTGATTACAGTATTCCTTGAGGATAGAGTGGTGGCATCATCCGCACCTTTAGAATGATTCCCTGCAGGTGGCGAATCTTGAGCTGAAGACGTCTCTGAAGCAGCAGGTACCGCCTCCCTAGGTGAGCTCGGGGAACCAACCCCAAACTGATCCAAAAGACAAGCAACCAACCTCTCGGCTTCTGAAGTAACGATTGGCATGCAATTCTGCGAGACAGCGATCAAGAAAGCCCTATAGATGCCCGTGTCGTTAGCGTTAGTAGTAGAAGCCGATATGACGATGTCTCCCATGAAACTAGCGATTTCCCCGGCTAAATCTCCAGATAAATCAGTTGCCTTGACAATATAGCCTAGGAAATCAGAATAGAACGTAGAGATGGCTTCAATTGGAAATGACTGCGGCCAGAAAGAGTGTTTAAACGACGCCGGAATCGACCGAATAAACTCGATGACAACCAATTTGGGTCGGCTGTCCGCCTGGTAGTTGCATTTGGAAAGAAATCTAGCGACAGCAAGTATCGCATTGAGCTGAGGCCTTGTAACCCTATAAGACCCAACCTGGAGAGAACCCGGAGGAGGACACCTGCTGCAAATCCATGAAAGTTTTTCGGTAAATAGTGCCGGATTCTGGGCAATTATGTCGCAGAGCTCGATCAGAGCCTCCATGGCGAGAGAGAACAACAGGTCAAGAAAGAGAGACGACTCGTTTCAAGATTTGAGGAGACAATCGATGTTCATTTGCTTTCCTCTTTCAGTGTTCCCTCCCGTTTGGTCTCGTCGTTGTCACGTTCAGTGGCTACTTTTCTTCTTTCGTTTCTGAAATTCTGTTTTGGGCACATCGCGCGCCTCTCTCATATCCTTTTTTTATTTCTTTCCCTTTCCTCTCTCTATTTTTCCGTTGAAGTGAGTGAATAAACGGTTACGCGAGTCCGAATTTCCCGCACTTTTTCTTCTTGCGCTTCCTACACTAAGCAATCACTGTAGTTGGACATTATTAGACTCGTAGTCCGGATCACGCGGAAAGTATGTCCGAGTCGACTCGATCGTCAACGGCCTCTTCTGGCTCAACATTATTAGACTCGTGCGTGTTAACCAGGTAGTTGGAGCAAGTTTGATATGCTTTGACCAGCCAAATTTCATTCTAATAACCGAAATAAATGGAAGGTTGATGGTGCTTGCTAGTCGGGACGTTTACTGAACAGGCTTAAAAGTCTCAAGAATTTTCCACGTGGCAAATTAACGATAGCCTAAATAAGTCCCACGACATTCCCCTAACCTCAATTGCCGAAATAAATTGGCGTAAATTTTAGGAGCTGGGGTGTGCAACCTGTGCGGTTTCAACTTAAACCACGACAGACCCAACCCAGCCCAAGTATTTACACCAGATGGGCATGGATTTTCGATTCTCAAGTTAGGCCTAGGCCCAAAACATTGTGATGACGATGCACATTCAGATAATCCAATTCAATTCAACATCCCTATTCCCTATCAAGTTGGTAACTTGGATTGCAATAATAAAAAGCATATGACGGAATTTGAGGACAAAATCCAAGTTGAAAACGAATTGTAAACCCCAACTGGCTTTGATTATTTGACCATTTTGTAAGAATCTCATATTAGAACTACGCTATGACCAAGGTTGAGAAAATCTTCAATATAAATTTATACGCGCATGTCTAAAACATGGTTTAAATTTATCCAAAGGCTTTTGTGCTGTCTGTGCTATGTGTGCACGCGTGTACGTGAGTCTCAGTGGTCTAATAGAATATAAACTCCATGTTCTCTTACATTTCTATTGATATTTTCAGAATTTCAATGTATCATCAAAATGTTCAGGACTTCAGGTTGTTACATACAAATATTCCAAAATGATGCAATGCATTATGAGAATCTTATCCATTGGTTAAATTTACTTGCTTTCCAATGTAATGTGTTATGTGTATAAACAAACCCATTTAGATTTGTCCTTTGGATATTGGGTGAACAAATTGTATAAAGTTATTTTGAAATGTTGTTTTTTTAACGCCTTAAGGCAATGGCTAATTTTATTAGGTTAAGGAGTACAAATACAAATATGTAGAGTGTAAAACCTTATATTTTGTATGTATTTGCACTGTATATTTGTATTTGTACTCTTTTCAAACTGAGCCTTAAGAATGCTCAGAATCTCAAATACAATCTAAGAGAGTACAATTAGCAATAAAAGTCAAAAATTTTGAAAAAGAGGGCACTCAACAATATGAATGTTTTTATTTTCATTTGTTTTTGGAATCACAACATCAATCCAAAAAGAAGGGTTTTTTTTATTGGGCCAGCTCTGGCAGATTAGTTTATGCCCTAAAGCAATGTACAACATTAGTGATAGCACTATAAAACAAATTTGAAAAAGTATTTATTTTTTGCCCATTGGTCACTGCCAGTAATTCCTTTACCTTTTTAACATAATACCAAAAATACACATTCCTCATTTTCCCACCCAACCCCACATCACCCATCAAAACACAACAATGGCCCTGTTGTGGAAAAAACTAAGAAAATATATCCCAATGGCACCCAAACTGAAAGTAAAAACAGAGATAAAGAGAAGCAAGTACAGAGAATACATACAGATTTATGTGGTTCAACTTATAGCCTACGTCTACGGGCGAAGGAGGAACAGAAATCCACTACAAAGTTGGCAATGGAGAAGAAATACAAAGTTGTGCCTTCACAAAAACAAAAAAAAAAAACCTAAGCCCCAAATACACCCAATGTCTCCCTCGTCTTTCACAAGACTAAGACTGTATACAAGAGAGAACCCCCCCCCCTGAAAATACGTAACTCTTCATATTCGGTTCGGACCTATAAGATGAATATGGATTGGGTTCATACCGCTGCAAGGGCTATGCCCAAACCCTATACTTCCACCACAAACCACTATGAAATTTTACCTTCAGATTTTTCTCAAATTAATTCAAATTGAATTCATTAAACAGGTCACCACAAAGAATTCAAGACACAAACATAACACTTTCAGCGTTCACCTAACCTCTTATTTTTCTAATGAAAGTCCTTTGAACTGTCGAAACAGGTACCAGCCAACCCAGATTGAATTTGTAGCCTCCTAGACAAAACAATCTAAAGTATAAAAGGGTGGAGAAGAGCTCCAAGTTCCACTACAGAGGTTAGAGATGATTCCTTTTCAAAATCCTTCCGAATTCTGTGGTTGTATTTTGTATTTGTTGTGCTTCGTGGACCTTATCACGTTGACCCTCCTTATAACATTTGTTCAAGCATTGCAAATTACACGATCAATAAGTATCTTTTAGTATAATCTCAGTCTCCTTTTCTAGAATTTATCCTCTGCAACTTGCCTCTCACACTTCAATAAAGTCACCATTGGCAACAACTCAAATAGAGTGTATGGCCTCTTCGTGTGTGTAAATTACAAAACCCTTAACACTTGTAAGTGACGCAGCGTGACGAGTTGGACCGGGCTGACTATGCAAGCACCCGGACGATCGGATCGGTTTCGATCTTGAAGCCTTACGAAAACTAGGCATAGCCTTAGTAGAGAGGAAATATGGCGAAGAAAATTCTTGTGTGTCTATTGAGCTTAGAAACTGAAGTATTTATAATACATACTAATAGTCTTGTAGAATAATTAGGAAAATAGAACAAGTAAAACAACTAGGACTTAGACTTGACGTACACTGTCCGATAGCCACTATCGTCCAACGCAGGTTGGATACGTGATCTTATCTGCCATTACCATTATCTGCTGCATGCATCTCTCTAGACATCCTTATCCAATGCGTGTTCCTCCCTGGTTGTCGCCGGCTGGTTCGATGGGTCGTGAGTTGGCCCTCCATCATTCTCCCCCACTTGGAAAGAACTCGACCCCGAGTAATGATCGGGATATGCAAGTGTCACTTCCGGTAAATAACGATGAAGATCAGCAACATTAAATGTTTTGGAAATACCCATGTGATCTGGCAAGTCCACTACGTAAGCATTGTCATTGATCCTCTTCGTGATCTTGTACGAACCATACTTCCGAGGCTGTAGCTTGTTATACTTTCCCACGGGAAAGCGTTCCTTCCTTAAGAACACCATGACTTCATCACCGACGTCAAACACTTGGTGTCGTCGATGCTTATCAGCTGCAATCTTGTACTTTGCATTGGTTCGCTCCAGTTTCTGCTGCACTTCTTCCTGTACTGACTGTATCTATTCTGCCAACTGCTCGGCAAAAGCGCCGAGGCCGGGTACCCTGGGTAGCTTCACTAAATCCAACGCATGGTTAGGTACCTTCATATAAATAATGGAAAATGGGGATCTACCTGTAGAGTTATGAACTGCATTGTTGTAAGCGAACTCTGCTTGTGCTATGGAAAAATCCCACTGCTTCGGTCTCTCCCTGCAGATACTGCGGATCAAGTTACCTAAGGTCCAATTTACCACCTCTGTCTGTCCATCTGTCTGTGGATGGGCTGTACTGCTGAAATTCAATGATGAATCAAATAGTCTCCACATGGTCATCCAGAAGTGACTTAAGAACCTCGTATCTCAGCCCGATGTGATGGTTTTAGGCACCCCATGTAAACAGACAATCTCCCTGAAAAATAGCTCAGTTGTCGCTGTTGCATCTGTGGTCTTCTTGCATGGGAGGAAGTGAGCCATCTTGGAGAATCGGTCAACCACTACGAAGACGGAGTCCATATTTCTTGGAGTCTTTGGCAAGCCTACCATGAAATCCATGGACAGGTCTTCCCAAATCGTAGTAGGAACAGGTAGGGGCATGTAGAGGCCGGTATTTTGGGTCTGTCCCTTAGCTGTCTGATAGATATGGCATCTACTCACAATAGTGGTCACATCCCTCCTTAATTTAGGCCAGTAGTAACGCCCCTTGACTGCTTTGATCATTTTGTCTCTCCCGAGGTGGCCTGCTAATCCACCCCCATGTAGATTTCTGATGATCTTCTCACGGAGGGAGGTGCAAGGGATGCACAATTGTTCTCCCTTCATAAGGAACCCATCATGAATGTAGAAATCACATGCTGGTTGTCGATTTGTGCATTTTTCCCACACCTGTTTGAAGTCTTCATCCTGGGCGTACAGATCTTTCAAGCATTCAAAGCCCACAATTTCAATGCTGAGAGTTTTGATGAGAGCTACACGCCTACTTAGAGCATCGGCTACTGTGTTTTGCTGTCCAGCCTTATACACAATCTTGTATGGGAATTTATCAATGAAAGTAGACCATCTTGCATGCAGGTCACTCCTCAACTGCTTTTGCTTACTGAGATACTTAAGAGCTTAGTGATCGGTGTAGAGAACAAATTCTTAAGCAATTAAGTAATGTTCCCAAGTTTTCAGTGCTCTAACAACAACATAGAATTCCTTATCATAAGTGGACCACTTCTTCCTGGTTTCGCATAACTTTTCACTAAAGAAAGCAACTGGTCTCTTTTCTTGTGATAATACGGCCCCTATGCCAACTCCACTGGCATCACATTCAACATCAAATAGCTTGTCAAAACTTGGTAATGCAAGGATAGGAGCGGTGCATAATTTTTCTTTTATGAGAGCAAAACTCTGTTCTTCTTCTTCTCCCCATTGAAACTTTCCCTTTTTCAAACACTCAATGATGGGAGTTACAATACTACTAAAGTGTTTGATAAATTGCCTGTAGAAAGTTGCTAACCCATGGAAACGTCTTACGTCTGTGACGTTTGATGGGGTCGGCCACTCCCTAATGACTTTCACTTTTCCCTCATCCACCTTAATTCCATCTTTACTTATAATGAACCCTAGGAACAACAAATTATCGCTCATGAAAGTGCACTTCTTTAAATTAGCATATAATTTGTTTTCCCTTAATGCATTCAAGACCTCTTTGATATGTCCTAGGT